GATGAGGGCCCTGGAATCATTGTACAGTGGCCCCTCTCCATTCACTGGGGTTAGGTGCGCAAGACCCCCGTGAATGTGGGAAAATCCCAAATTTTAAAAAAAAACACTATTCTTTTTACCAGAGAAAACACCTCTCTAGGAACCTCCAATGCAACTCTATGGTCAACATCTGCCAGAGGTTGATCATAGAATCATGCTGGAGGACCTACAAATGCCTAGAGAAGTGTTTGCTCTAAGAACTCACAGAATCATAGAGTAGGAAGAGACCACAAGGGCAACTCATAGCTCCTCTAGCACAACTCTATGGCCAACTTCTGGGAGAGTTGCCCAGGAAGACTTGGATAGACCATACTAATCAAAACTGCAAATAATCAAATCCGCAAAAGTCAAAGCTGCGAATGTGGAAGGCCAACTGTACTTCCTTTTCCACAAGGGACAATACTCGGGGTATTTTATTGCAATCTGTAATGACCACAGCTGGAGAAGCAACACTGAGACCAGTTTATTAAAGAATTACTACAACGGCTTGTTCTTTCAAGAATAAAAATCACCAATGTGAAGTCATAGGCTTTTATGGCCAGCATCCATAGTTTTCTGTGTGTTTTTTGGGCTGTGTGGCCATGTTCTAAAAGAGTTTCTTTCTAACATTTCACCAGCATCTGTGGCTGGCATCTTTAGAGAATGCTGGAATGGAATATATATATATTCCACTCTCTTCCATTCCAGCATTCTCTGAAGATGCCAGCCAAAGATGCTGGCGAAACGTCAGAAAGAAACTCTTCTAGAACATGGCCACACAGCCCGAAAAACCCACAAAAAACTATAAAAATCACCGTTATGTTTTTTCATCTAGCAGTATTAAAGCAGTATTTGAATACACAAAGCAAAGGAAGATAAAATGAAGCCTGTAGGCAGAACCAAGCGGCGGCAGGGCTGTGGTTATTGGGAGCTCTTATGGACAGCTGCGCTTGCAAAATTCAGGCTGCATTACCTAGAAATTGTAATAACACATCAACTGCATTGGAGATGAGTAGAAATGCAAACCAACAGAAAATGAAAACTAATAATCACACATCAGCTCTTCACATCCCAGAGATCTAGGTGGAACCCCTTGGCCCAGACACAACTATAAATCCAAAAGAGATTAGAGCCTACACCAGGGTTTAATAAACCAATCAACCAATTCTCATCCATT